GTACTGATAAAAACGAAAAACAACAACAACAAAAAAAAGTTGAATTATCATTGTTCCCAGATGACGTGATACTCTACATAAAAAAACCCCAAAACTCCATTGAAAGACTCTTAGATATATTAAATAAATTCAGTAATGTAGCTGGATACAAAATCAGTACTCAAAAATCAATAGCATCCCTATACTCTAACAACAAAATCACTGACAGAGAAATGAGAGAAGCACACCCTTCACACTAGCAACCAAAAAAATGAAATATTTAGGAATTACTCTCACAAAAGAAGTAAAGGCCTATACAGGGAAAATTATAATACACTGAAAAAAGAAATTGAAAACAATCTCAGAAAATGGAAAGACATCACTTGCTCATGGATAGGAATATTGTGAAAATGGCCATTCTCCCAAAACTCTTATATAGATCAGTGCAATCCCAATAAAAATACCATCAACATACCTCATAGATCTCAAGAAATCACTCCTAAAATTCATCTGGAACCAAAAGAGACCTAGAATAGCAAAGACAGTTCTAAAAAGCAAAGGCAAGGCAGGAGACATCACAATCCCTGACTTGAAGTTATACTATAAAGCAGCCATAGTAAAATCAACATGGTACTGGAATCAAAACAGAGCCGAAGATCAGTGGTATAGATTAGAAGATACAACCACAACTGCAAACACATTCAACCACCTTATCTTTGATAAAGGAGCCAAAGAGGTTCACTGGAAGAAGGACAGTCTCTTTAATAAATGGTGTTGGAAAAACTGGCTCTCCCTATGCCAAAAACTGAAACTAGACCCATACCTATTGCCATGTACTAAATTAAAATCTAAATGGATCAAAGATCTGAATATTAAAACAGAAACACTAAATCTATTGGAAGACAAATTGGGCAAAAAACTTAAAAGATATAGGGGTAGGTAGAGAATTCATGAACAGGACTCAAACCGCATGGGAAATACTTCCCAGAATCAATAACTGGGATCACCTCTTATTAAAAGTCTGTATGTCAAAAGAAATCTCCAGCATAGTGAAAAGCAAACCCACAAACTGGGAAAAAAAAAATCTTAGTGAACTGTCCCTCAGATGAAGGACTTCTGTCTAAAACATATAAAGAATTTTAAAAAATCAAACCCCCAAAATTCAAAGATCCAATCCAAAAATGGGCATCTGAGATGAATACACACTTCTCAGATGAAGAAATACAAATGGCAAATAAATACATGAAAAAATGTTCATCATTATTGCTCATTAGAGAAATGCAAGTTAAAACTATACTGGGATTCCATCTCACTCCTGAAAGAATGGCCAGGATCAAGAAAACCAGCAACAACAAATGCTGGAGAGGCTGTGGAAAAAATTGAACTCTCCTGCACTGTTGGTGGGAGTGTAGACTGGTACAACCTTTGTGGAGGTCAGTCTGGAGATTTCTCAAAAAGCTGGGATTGGAAGTCCCATTTGTTCCAGTTATTCCACTTCTAGGCATATTCCCAGAAGAACTGAAAGCATCATACCACAGTGATATATGTGCACTCATGTTTATAGCACCACAATTTGTAATAGCCAGATCTTGGAAACAACCCAAGTGTCTATCAACTGAGGAATGGATAAAAAGGTTGTGGTATTTTTACACAATGGAACACTGCTCAGCTATAAAGAAGGATCACATTGAGATATTTATAAATAAATGGGCACAGCTTTGAGACTATACTCATAAGTGAAATAAATCAAACTCACAAGTATGAATACCGAATAGTTTCCCTAGTGTAAGAAATGATGTAAATACATAAAAGTATATGGTAATCATGATTCCCCATTATATGGCTTTGAAGCCTATAAAGTTTTCACTCATTAATTGGAATGGTTTTATTCTGGGCTGTTTGATTTTATTGTCTGTGATGATATGAACAGCTATTTTGAAGAAAAAGAGACATCATAATAGCTAGTGCTGACTTAATGTCATCTTGTTTTGAAGTCCCATCAAACTATTGTTCTGTTTTCATTAGTTTTATCATGTTGTGTATTACTGGATTTTATTATATTTGATAGTATAAACAAAAATTTTTATAGGCAAAGAGATAATATAGAAACCATTATTCGTTTTCTGTTAGCTCGTTCTAAATACCTTGTAATACTTTCATCCTCTTGAATGGTTTCACACTGTCTCGATATGTTTGATGCCATAGTATACAAAGTTATACCCAAGTATTTCAAGAAAAGAGACACTATGGTAACTACTATTAATTCGGGTTATCTTGTGAAACATATGTTGCTTAAATTGTTCTGTTCTGACCTGTATTTTTGTTATGTCCTCTTTTATCTCAATCTCCCTTTTTAAAAATTTATATATTTTTTATTATTTTTTAATTAAGGGAAAAAAATAAAAAATTAGCAGAATATATTATAGTAACTTTTTTGATTTCCTATTAACTTGATTTGAAGCCCTGTATTGCTCTCACTATCTTGTTTTGACTGATTTTACTCTATTCTGTTTTGTTTGATAGTATCAAGTTTGACGGTATAGGCAACTACTTTGATGGCAATAAGATTCACTATGATACCCATTCTGGTTTGACTATTATCTTCTTTTGAAGTCCTGTAATGTCTCCAGTGTTTATGTTTTATTGGTTTTTGTCTGTACTGTTTTGTTAAATTTTATTATACATAATGATATAGGCAATTCTTTTTAAGGTAGCAAGAGGCATTATGGTAACCATTGTTGATTACCTTGTATTCTGTTTTCTATCATACTGTGTCCATCCTTTATTTTGACTGACTCTGCTTTGTTTTGTCACATTTGGTTTAATTCTCTTCCAAAAAAAAAAAAAAAAAAAAAAAGGAATAAGATCTGTGGGAGTAATAAAACCCAAAATGTGTAATTGTTATTGTAAAAAAGAGAGGAAAAGAAAGTTCTCTAAAGGATACAATTGCAAGTGTGTTTAGGTGTGTAAGATAGATGACCATATTACTAAGTTTTTGTTGGATCGTTGAACACAACTGTTTGCAGTCTCACTGTTTGAATGTCCACTTTGTATGCTTTAATTTTGTAACTTGAACAACTATTTCTAAGAAGACAGTATGTAATTTAATAACTAATGATTTTTTACTGTTTTTTTTTTTTTTTTTGAAATTCTATTACTTGTACCCTTTTACTGTTTTGGCTTTTTTTTTTTTTTTTCTTTCTTTAAATAAAATTTAAAAAAATAAATTTGAACACTCTTTGTGGGTAGTGTTAGGACTAGTGGGGAATATATTCACAATATGGTTGTATATTTCTAAAATTCCAACTCCCAAAGAGATTCTATACAGACTATGTCTATTAATTTCACAGTGCTGTGTAACAGTAATATCAAATGCAGTAGTTGTTGGAAAAGACAAAGTTCTTTTATTATAATGAACACAGCCAGGAATCTTATTTATGCGGGACATTCAGGAGTTGAAATAACAAGTAGGGCAAGTTTGCTCCCAGGGAAGACTCATCCATCATTATATGTTTGTTTTACAATTTAAAAATTTTAAATACATTATACCTCCCTTGCCACATGGTTTCTATTGAAGATGAAATAGCATACTTCCCATTAAACTTTCCTACAATTAAACCTAAAATTTTGTCTCCACAAATTAAATCTCCTACAGACATTAAATTGCTCTGTGTTTATTTTGTTTGTCTTATGTAAAATTCTGAGGCTTTTTTATTTGTTTGTTTGTTTGTTTTAAAAACAGTGTCTTACTGTTTAGTTCAGGCTGACCTTGAACTCAGTGTGCAATCCAGGCTGGCTGAAGCCATTTTTATATTTTAATTTTTCACTTTATAGCATCTTTTAAAAAAAGCAGTTTTTAAAAAACAATGTGATGCTCAAGTCTGAAATTACTGTTTTATTCCATCATGACAGTGTTGAGTAAAAAGTACTGTGTCATTTTTAAAATATATAAAGTAACAGTGTATATAAACTGGCAATTTGTATAATTGGAAATTGTTTTAATTTGAGGCATTAAAATTTAAGACGCTTCTATAATCTGATTTTGAGTTTATCTTATACCTTATTTAGATATAGATCTCTTTTTAATTCATTGTGAGCTGAGAAATACTAGGGACACTAATGGTCCTTCTATTTTTAGTTTTTTTTAATAGAAAAAATTTAAATGAGAATATATTGGGCCAGAGATATAGCTCAGTGGCACAAGTGCCTGGCATACACAAGGTCCTGAGTTCAATTCCTGGTACACCGTAAACAAATGATAATATGATGAAAAGTAACATAGTAAAAACTTCAATTATGTGTACTTGTGTTGGCTACTTTTTACTCATTGCTGGGACAAAATATCTGACACCCAAAATGAAGGAAAGGAAGGTTTATTTCTTTACAGTTCTTGGAGGTTTCAGCCCATACTAAGTTGGCTCCAAGGCAGTATAGCACAGCGGGGCAACTATTCATGGCCACTGCAAACAGCAAGGCTGGACCCAACAAGAAAGTGAGATGTCTTCTTCCCACAGATACGTAATATCCTGGCTCCACCCCTGGGCAGCTGAAACACTTACAGCACCAATTGGAGTACTAGCAACAAACCAATCACAAACATTAGATTTGGTAGAGCCCATAAGTGCATAAGGCTTGGGGGCCACTAGCATAAACCATAACAATACTTAAGTAAGAATTTTTAAATTTTCCTTTATAGTAACAATACTTGCTGTATTATTATTTAGAAATATTTGTCTTCACGAGGATATCTGGCTATTATCTTTTTATTCTCATTTATTTTGAGCTTTAGAGCTAAATTTTACTTTTAGGTTGTCATGAGTTCATAGTTGTAGAAAAATTGTATTTTGTTCTAAAGACTTTGGGCTGAGAGAGAACAACTTTTTGTTTTGGGAAGAGTTCAGTGACATGGCTTAGTGAAATAAATATAAGGTAATTTACTTAAAATGATTATTAGAATTGTTTGTGCTTCAGTAGACATTATAGGCCTACAAACTTATACCTGTAATGTGATTTTATTTTAGCTTAAGAAACAGTTGGGTGATAATGAAGCTGTTACACAAGAAATAGTTGGTTCTGCTCATTTGGAGAATTATGCTTTAAAAATGTTTTTGTATGCTGACAATGAAGATCGTGCTGGACGATTTCACAAGTAAGTAGAGAGGAACATAAAAAAATTATTTTATCAGTTTGGTTGCTAATTATATAGGGCTTTGTTTTTTGGCTTTTTTGGGTTTTTTTTTAATACTTTCTTAGTATTAAGATAATTTTGGGTCATGAATGTGAGCCTAACTTTGCAAAGAAAATGGCTAAAAGAACTACCCAGGACAACTCAGTAAATGTTCCCTTATCAGCTAGTATTTAACGTACTTAAATCATAGCCTTGCCCAATGATGTTGATTTTAAAAATACTCCAAGCAACTCAAATGGTTTTTAATTATTATGATAATATTTCAATACAAAGAAATGCATTATGATTTGAAATGGACTGAAATAATAATTACATTTCCTATAGTCAGAATCATACAATAAAATCATAGTATTTTGACTTGTAACATGAATATTGTTGCTTTCTTCTAATAACCTTCACAAAGGAGTTCCATTGTGTCCTCAAACTTTGATTTTGAGAACATTAAGATCAGAGTGCTTTTGTAAACATTAGAATTTTCTCTTGCATGACAGTACTACTATATTTTAATATTTTTCATTTAATCTAGACTACTTCTTTTTTTCTCTTTCAGAAATATGATCAAGTCCTTCTATACTGCAAGCCTTTTAATAGATGTCATAACAGTATTTGGAGAACTCACTGATGAAGTGAGTGTACATTTTTATTGTCTTATTAACTGAAGATAAGTAATGTTGCTCTTTATCTGTTTTCTTAATGCACTATTTAGTTAGAGCAGTGTGTCCATCAGAAATATAATGGAAACAATGTAACTAAAAACTTTTACCACTTTTAAAAACAAAAAAGAAATAACTGAAATTATTTCAAATAATATATTTTATTTTTTGTAGTAAGTTCTTTAAGTCTAGCAAGTATTTTGCTCTTTCTCATATGTGTGGCTACTGTTTTGGACCACACAAGTTCAGATTTTCTTATGGGTTCATATGCTATTAATCCTGTGTGTTAGTTTCTACACTGTTATTTGATGGACATACCAAAAGCAAAGACATTTTAGGATTGTTTTTTCTTGTTTTATCTGTAAATCAGATAAATCAAAGTGAATCTTACTACAAGTACTTGAAGAGAGGAAACTGTCTCATTCTCCTCATATGTCTTTAACATTAACCATAAATTTACATATGGAGCAATATCAAAATAAAATAGTGACTGATTAATACTTAAAATGTTGTTGTAGTTAACTTTTCCTTTTTATCTGTAGATGGAAATAATATTCAGACTGTTTATCCAGAATTTTCTTTTGTAACTCCTCTATTTTTACTATATTTATATTATTTATTATTTATATTATTTATTATCACTCCCCTAATATTTTTATTATATTAGGTCTCATTTACTTCTGTCCCTTTCCCAATATATTTTCCTTTCTAACTTTATGTCATTGCTTATAGTTGTACAAACTAAATAAAGTCTACATTTTTTTTAGTATTTAACTGGGACTTTTGTTTTTACTTTAAATTACATTTTATCTGTCACTGTTATGTATTTTAACTCTCCCATTTGTGCTTTAGCTATGTGTATTCACACCTTTTATCTGTGCCTTATAAATTTCTTATCAGTTTTCTAATGAATTTATTGTTTTGTAAGCTTCTCATATTCCTGTGACTCTCTGAGATTCAGTAAGTTTTGCAAATAGAATCACCAGAGTGTATCTATTTTTAACTTCATGCTTTAAAGCAAGGGGTGTATCAGAGACCCCAGTACACCCAAAGGAATGGACGGCGAAGATTTAAATAACTGAGATAAGTGGTGTGATTTTAGAGCTCCCTGAGAGAGTTCTAAACCCTCTGAGAGTTCGAAAACTCTGGTATCTAAGATGGGATGTCTCTTGATTGCCTATATTTATTTAGGGAGTTAGAGTGGAAAACACAGGAAATTGAACAGACCTTGGGAGTGGTCTAAGGACTTTTCTAAGTAACAAATTATGTTAACTAGGAGAAGTATCTTAGGAGATGATCTCCATGTTGCATTTCACTACAGGGTGAAATGCCTGTGACTACAGTCTTTACAGTTAATTGGAGTTGGAGCCAGGTGTCCTCAGCAGTTATCTTTTCTAGCCCCAGCCATGCAGCAGCCCTGCTTGTGTGTTCAATTTCCAGTTTCAGCAGTTTCTGTAATACCTTATTGCGTAATCTGTTGTCGTCAGTATTTTTAATAGGCTTCCTTTGATTGTATTTTAGATTTATTCCAGTACTAGCAGTATTTCAGGAATAGATAACATTTTTACCTTCTTTCCATCATAATTTTTGGTTAAAGTTAAATGTTACTAACTTAGGAAAAATATGAAAATTGCCAGTAAAACATAATACTGTTCTTATTTTTTGTTTCCACTAATTTTGGGTGGTGAGATTTGTTCCCTCTTGGATGTTGCATTCTATTTGGAGGCCCAGAATAACTACGATGACATATGGTACATTAATGAAGAAATACGGGAAAAGTAGTTACTTGCAACACCTGCCATTTGCCTGGCACTGGGCTTATACATGTTACATGTGTTGTGCTTCACCTTTCATAATTCTGAATTATAATGTAAAAGTTGAAGGTCATAAAAAATAAGTACAGTATGTCCATTGCTGCAGTCCAGGATAACATTTTATCAAACTGTGATAGTTATTCTTTTTAATCATTTTTAAGTTTCCAATCCTTTGCAGGTGAACACTTTTATAAAATGTAAATTCAAGTAACAAATGAGTTACTAGAGAAATGGAACTTTAAAAGGATGGACAAAGTGTAAGCCTGATTTGCTATGAGTTTTCCAAATACTGACCATTTCTGTACTACATGTACTAGACTTTACCTGTTGAGCATCTCTAATCCAAAAGTCCAAAATCTGAACTTCTTCAAAATCCAAAACGATTTCAGTCTGTAACCTGAACCTGAAGCATATTTTTACTGTATAAGAATGAATGGACCATATTTTCGTAATATATATTCTGATGTTCTGTATATAGAAAGTATATTATCAATACATGAAATTTCAAAGGAAACTGTCCTAACCAATGTTATATATTTACTTTATATTTAAATGACTTTATTCAGAAATACATAGGCATTTTGTATTATTGCTACTATGTTTGGAAATGTTACCTGTGCTTAGAGTCTGAAAGAGACAGAAGAAGAAAATACATTTGAAAAAACAATGCCAATAGGCTTTTCAAATTGGTTACAAAAAGTGGTTACAGACCTAACAACCTCAGTGAATCCCACGTTGAATAAATACAAAGAAAACCACACTTTAGAATATTGTAGTGAAACCAGTGATAGAAGAGCAAATCTTGAAAATGCAGTTTAAGCAAGTCGTACATGGCCCATAAGGTAATGGTGCTTTGAAAGATGACTGACTTATCATTTGAAAAAAGTAGAGACCATAATGAAATGATATATTTAAAGTTGTGAAAGAAGAAACAGAAAAACTATCAACTCTGATATTTATCTGTACCAAAAAAACAATAGTTCAAAGGATGAACATAAAATAAAAGATATTTCCTGACAGATTAATTCATTGATGGCAGGTCTGCACTAAAGATCTGAAGAATGCCTATAAGTAAATTTTTCAGATTAAAGGAAAATAATACCAAATGGAAAGTTCAGTGTACAGAAATGAATGTACACTGGACATAATGTAAGTAAACATAAAAGACTTTATATACATTCTTTATTTAAAAATGAATGACTATATAAGTAGAAATAATTATAATTATTTGTATGCATATATTTGATACTGTGAAAGAAAGTATGGAAGGAAAAAAGAAACACAAACAGGTAGTACAAATAAAAAACAAGTAACAAATTTTAAACTTGAGTACAACTAGGTCAGTATATACTTAGGACAAATAAACCAGAATTCTAGCATAAAAATACATATTTTTAGAAGAGATGAATAAATGCAAGGCTTAACTGTATGCTGTTTACAAAACATAATCTTTACATACAAAGATATTCTGAAAATGAATTGGGAAAAGGCATTCAGTGCAGATGGTAAACACAACCCAAAGGGACCATATTAATATTAAGTAGTCTTTAAGATGTTAATAGACACGAAAGGAGACATTTTGTAACAGCAAAGTAGTCAGTCAAGAAAACTTTGTTATAAATGTCTGTACACCTAATAATAAGAGTTTCAAGTTATATATGACAGAACTTGGAAAAAAATTTTAAATCGTTATTAGAGATTATAACATGCTGTCAATCAACAATGGACTAAGTAGTTTTAAAATGATTAAACTTAACTAAGATGAATAAAGGCTAGCTCACATGTTTAGAATACGGAAAAATAAGAACTTTCCTACTTGGTGGAAATGTTAGCTTTTTTATAACCACTTGGGGGAAAAATTTGGCAGATTTTTATAAAGTTAAACACAGCTCCTCTTTTACCCAGCAGTTCCTTTTCTGGTACTTATCCAAGAGAAATAAAAACATATGTCCAGAAAAGTCCTGTTCAGGAGCACTCATAGGAAATTTATTCATAATAACCCCAAGCTGGAAATAATCCAGATGTCTACCACCAGGGGAATTAATGAACAAATTGTGGCATTACTCAGATATAAAAAGGTGCTGACTACTGCTATAACTAAAAACATGAATGAATCTTGCAAATGTACTGAGAAGAATCTAGGAAGTCAGTCTATATGATTCTCTTCATTATGTATTGCAGCAAATTAATAAAAAATGGGCAGGTTTCTTTTGGAGGAATTGCAGTCTACGATGAGAGGGAAGTAGACTTCTGTAGTGTTGGGTTGTAATTAGAAGAATCTATTTTTTTAATATATTAGATTAATATATGTGTGTATATACTACAAATGCATGCATATATAATATATGCCGTTGTGTAAATATAAATGCAAGTTTCACTGCATAATTTCTATATGACTGTACTGGAAAGACCCAAAAGCACTAATGCTTTAGTTGCAATGAGTCCTCCTGGTCCCCGGATTGGAGTTCCATAGCCGGAACCAGTACTATTCACAAAAGACTGAATCTTGAGTAGGATCAGGGAAAGCACTAAGTAAGGCTTGACCATCTTGTGTCAGAAAAAGTGTGGTCATTATCAGGACCCAGGAGCCAACTTGAAAGGATTTCAACTATTCGTGTCAGGGTCAGCTATATGATCAAAATAAGAATGATAATAGTGAATGATAACTCACTGACTAAGAAAAAATCAGTGAGTGTGCAGACAAAGAAAATGAGTGAATGATGAAAGAATAGAGGAGGGAAGGGAAAACTTGTCATTCACCTCTTTAACCAAGTCCTGCAACCCAAATCACCAATATTGGGACAACCTGGTATCACGTGACTCCTGATAAGATGAACTGAGAAAGTCTTCAGCAGCAATACTGTCAAAAATATATAAAACGAACCTAGTCATGAAGAAAACCAAATAAATCCAAATCAGTGCACATTTTACAACTAGGTTAGAAATTTTTTTTAATCTCAACTAAGAAATGATATTACAGATTGAAATCTGAATGAATCTGACCACTAAATAATTCATACTCCTTAGATTAGATATATGCCTGGAGCATATAGTAACTACAGAATAGAGAATTGAGACAGCTAACAGAATTTACTATAATTACAGATCAAACAATAGTGAGATATGTTAAATTGCTTTTTTTGATAACTGTTGTATATGAGTGTCCTTGATCTTAGAAATGCACAGTGAAAGGATAGGAGAATGCATTGGCTTCAACTTCTCTTAAATGGTACCAAAACCAAAATTTTAGTCATTATGGTAATAAATATATTTAATACAATTTTTCAAGCATATCTCATTATATTATATTCCACTGTTTCTGGAGTTATATAAATCATTTCTTGTTTATATGTTTGGGAGGATTTAGAGACAAACTATAAATTTGTTACCTATGATGTCATAAATTAGAGATTATTACTCCCTTTTATATTATTACTTTGAATATGTTATGAAAGCTACAGGTTCTCTCTGCAGTGTGTGTGCGTTGTACTTTTGCATATAATTGGAAGAGTGCCTCACAGATACCCTCAAGCCTATCCACTAACCCTCCCATGCAAGCCTAAGTCAAGTGGTATACACAGGTTTAGTATGCATGTCTATTCACTAACAAAAAAGGTTTGCTTCAATTTAGTGGCTTTTACAGGGTGGTTTCCAGCAGACAGCAGAATTGTTTGATGTTTTTGGTAAAAGTTTGAATTCCAAATTCTATCCACTTCTTCTTTCACCACATATTTGTCAAGTTCTGTGTATCAAAGCATTATTCTAGGCACTAGCAGTCAGTAGTAGATAAAATGCCTGCTGTTGTAGGAATCACATTCCTGAGGTAGAGAAAAATATGTTAATAATTACAGTTGTATATATTGTGCCACATAAGTGTCATAAAGAAGTTTAAGACAGAGACAAGAATGTCAGTTTTTAAATAAAATTGGTTGAGGAAGGCCTCACTGAGATGATAACATTTCAGCAAATGTTGGAGGAGATAAGCGGATAATTGCAGATACTCCAGGAAGATGCAGAAGAGAGTGCAAAGATTTTGCGGTAGTTCAAGCTACTTCTTCATGTTCATAAAATAGGAAGGAACACATTGCCAAGATCTAGAGTAAAGAGGGAAAGTGATAGATGTAGATGGGGAGAAGTGAGTTCAGGCATAATTGATATGATTGTACTTTTAAAAAGTATTGTTCTTTCCACTGAACTGGACAAAGGATGGTAAGGAGAGCTATTAGGACAGTATTGGATAGTCAAGGCAAGAGGCAATAGTTACTAAACAAGGTTCGCAGTAGAAGTCATGGTGAGAACTATTTGGATTCTGGATAAAATTTAAAAATAAAGCTGAGAGAAAGCAAGAGAATCATTGGTAAATTGTGAGAGAATTCAAGGGCTCAAAGATTCCAAGGGGTTGGATTTAACCAACTGTTAAAAAATGGCATTGCTGTTTACTGACATGTGGAGAAACAAGTTTAAATTTAGTAGGGAGAGATCAGGAAGGTGTTCAAACATACAAGTGAAGTGTCAACTTGGATGTATAAGACCTGGGTTCAGAAGAAAGGTCTGAAGAGAAAGTACAAATTTGGGAGTTGGCAGGAAAAGGTGATATTTAAAGCCATTAGACTGGACAAGCGCGCATCAAGGTAAAATGTAAGAAGAGACGATGAGGAGTCTCGGAACTGAAATCTGGCACTCCCTGCCTTGAGTCAGGAGAAAGAACCAGTCTAAAGGTCTGAAGGGGTACCAGCCAAAGGAACGAAAAACGAGATGTACTCGCTAAACAGAAAACCAAGTAAAGAGAATCAAGGCAGGAGAATCGATGAACATTTCATTTCAAGGCTGAAGAAATGACGTGTGCATTGAACTTAGCAATACAGAAGTAATCTGCAGCCTTTACTAAAGGAGGTACAACGAATGGTTGGCGTAAGAAACTGACTAGGCTGGATTCAAGAGAAAATCAAAATGGAACAATTGGATGCAGGTTGTATGAAACATTTTCCCTCAAGATGGTTCTTTGGTGCATTATTGGAAAATGTCTGGTATATTTTTCATCAGTTAGGCCAAAAAAATTTTTTTCACTTACTGCCTCATGTCACCTTCTGTGCACTAAATTTGAGAACACGTGAGCCCATCTATGGCAGTTACAGTGTTTTCCTACCTAGTCATCTTTGGGGGAGTGCAAGTGAATTAAAAATTAAGTGAAGACTGTATACTGCTGCTAAGTTTAGGAGCTGAAATTTGCTGTTGTCAGTGATTTTCATCAATCTGGTTACAAAACAGGAACTTAAGGGTCCAGAGACAAAAGTAAAAAGTTCTTTATACAATTCCTGTTTCCCAGAAAGGATGTCTAATCAGCCAAAAGGAGCGACTAATGAATTTCAAAAATACTGATATCTTGAAAAATTTCCTCTTGAAATATTGTGTAATCTCTAAGATTCTTTATCCTAAAGAAATAAACATTAAAACTAATAACTGTCAGAAATTTCTGCTAAATATTATATATGCCTGTTTGGCCAAGTAAAGATATGTTGGGGACTGTGAAATAAAAATCAAACTTCATTACTTTATGGGCTTTGAGGAAACTTTTAAGTCTGATTGCTGTAAGAAACCATATTTTCAGCTTAAAATTAATGTTTTTAACTTTGCATACTAGTCAAGGAACCCAACTAGTGTGGTTTGAATCTTTCCACCCTCCTCATACTATGAAATTAGAACTAAAACGATCTTCTAAAGTAATTATAATATGAATTTTCCAGTAACTTTGTAGCCAGGATTAAGTTACCTTAGGTGAGGGAACATTTTATGTTTAAAGATCTTAAAAGCAGGCAGTTTAACTTTTCCTAAGCAATTTATTCATTTAGTTTCAAAATGATTTGTTTTTATCTACCAAAATATATTTTTCATCAACATACATTTAAACAGCTGACCTATTAAAGCCTATATTCCCTTATTTAATGTATTTCCATTGTAACTAGAAATTACAGTGATAAGTATAGCTTGCCATGACAGTGCTGAACCTGCTTTACCTCTAAAATAGTAGTGACTTTGAGTAAGTCATTTTCTAATGGCATTTCTTCATTTCTGCAGTGAAAAAATGATAAATACCCTAACAGAAAAAGATAAAGAGCCCTCGTGGGATTGCTGTGGTTTATAAGCTCCCCCCAATTCATGTATTTCTGGTTGGTGCCCAAGAAACTTCATTGCTTTCACTTATGTTCTTTGTTCTCAAAGAATAAAAGGGAAAGAAGAGTGAACCTATAATAATGCAGTCTCTGTAGGTCAGAAACAGTCAAACATGAAATTGAATTTTAATTATACGATGAACGTAATTGTGCTTTCTAACCCTGATACTTCATTACCTACCACAGAAATTACATTTTCCATTACACTATCACAAATAATTTGTATTGGGCAGAATGGCTTCCAATAGAATCAAGGAATTGAAAGTTTCAGACATGTGTATTTGTTGAACCACTAGCCAAGTGCTTAGAATGAACAGCAGGTGAACAGATATCCCATCATACTGCCTAGAGCACATACACATATGTTTTAGGGTGGTCTCTAAGCATACATAAAGATACGTATAATTAACTTGTCTCCTTCCCAGAATAGAGGTGTGTGGTCTTGCCTATAAATTAGGATAAATGTTGTTGAAGAGAAGATATCAGATTGCTAAGTAAGATTGGAAAGGTCAGGGAAACTTTTTCAAAGAAAATGAAATTTGATCTAACATAAAAGGAATGAGTTGTAGAAGTGAGTTCACTTGTGAAAAAAGTGGGAGGCACACACAAGAAATAGGTCATACTTGCCATGTAAATGTGCTCACGTAGCTGAATGTTAGTGAGAATAGGATAGGCACATTGGAGGAGGACCAGTAACCCAAGTTAGAGTTTGTTTTATGTTTTATATGCATTGGGAAGCCACTAAAAAGATTAATATAAATTGGTTTTTATTAATAATTTAGATCAGCCTGAGTACTGGGCAAGGAAATGTGATGGAGGGGAAAGGCCAAAGAAGTTTTCATAGATTTATACAGATCTTTAGTGAAAATAGTTTGATCTATAGTTATGATAGTAACTTTTATGTTTCATCTTAAAATTCTATGTATCTCATGTAACAAAAATTCCAAACTTTGTTAGAGGAACACTTCAATATTTCAGTTGCAGACCTTTTCTGAAATGCAACACCCTACAGGAGAACAAAGTGTGTGTTTTAAAGACAGCTTTTCATGAAGTGTCTCAGACTCTCCATAGTGGTACAATAGCAAAAGGGTGGGATTGCCAGGCTCTTTCAGAGATGTACAATGCCAACTGTGTTTTATCTCAGAAACACTTCTTCTCTATGGTATAATATTAATATAAAAATGCTCTCTTTTAGAATGTGAAACACAGAAAGTATGCAAGGTGGAAGGCAACATATATCCATAATTGTTTGAAAAATGGAGAGACTCCTCAAGCAGGCCCTGTTGGAATTGAGGATGATAATGGTATGTACTTATTTAAGTAAATAATTTAGTAGAATCATAATTGTTCAATAGATTATTCAGAATTTGAGAAAGAGCAAAATCAGGTCCAAAATCCATGAAAATTAAGTATAAAAATAATTTAGAGAGAGTGAGCAATAAGACTAAATTGTTCTAGTGTGTGTCCATGTCAATATAGTAACTTGGCTGTCTCCTATTTAGAAATTTCACTTCTACATACAAAAGGCAAACCATTTATTATTTATAAAATGTGTCCAAACCACAGCAAATATAATAGTTTTATACATCTGTTTGATGTGTGTGTGTGTGTGTGTGTGTGTGTGTGTGTGTGTGTGTTATTTTTGAGGGAGTGGCTAATGTATCACAAGGTTGAAAAAAATTATAGAGTGCATAAAAAGATACAAAAGTGAATTTATGATTTTCTACTAAATCTGTGATCTCCATAGATCCTACCAAAATTCAAACAAGTAGATACTACTTTTAGTTTTTGTATATCTTTAAAAAGATTATTTTATGAGTTCATAAGCAAATACGAATATTTATATCTTCTTTTCTTTACATAATCGTTAATATGTATACTGTTTTTCACTTGGATTTTTTTAACTTTATATATCCAGCAAAATCTCACCATTGTATATTACACAGCTTTTATAATATTTAATCATGAAAAAATGAGCATCTGTTTCACTTGGCATTTCAGTTATTATGGGATATGTATGATGAAAAAGAAAAGGAAAAACATTTTCATTTACAGTGCTTTTTTTAACTGATTAGACATTTAGGAAGTATAATAAACTGTTAAAAGGAGAAAAACCACTGTTCTGTGAACAAAAAAATTCTACACAGTCCTTGCATTTTATTATACAACGTATAGGTGTCCATGAATATGGTCATGTAGCACAGGGGTCAAAAAAATTTTTCTTATAAGGATCAGAGATTATTTTAAGCTTGTGGACCGTACAGTCTTGATTGCTGTTGTCCATCTCTGTTAGGCAAAAGTAGCCATAGTCAATATTTAAACAAATATGGTTGTGTTCCAATGAAGCCTTATTTACAAAAGCAGGCAGTTATCCACTGGCAGAGTCAACTCTAGTCAAATTCAGTCACTTAGGTTTGTTTATATAATGAACTATATTAAAAGGTTACCTAATATTGGACCAACTTTACACCACATAATGAGCCTCTCTTGGTCTTTTGCTATGTTTTGTAACAGATTAAATACTGTTGGAATGATCTGCTATTTAACTCCTAGAAATCTTGGGAAGCAGCTGGCCCTGGTACAAGATGGCTCTTTGGTACTATCCTATGCAAGTCAGTCTCCATGGATGATTTTTTTCCTTAATCAGTACTCAGTAAATGAATGTATACTGATGAAATAAGTGATATTTAACTGCTTTTATGTGATTTCTACATATTTGTGCAGTGCTCACTGTTTTCTGTTCTGCACAGGAATGTGCATACTGTATAAGAATATATGCATCCTCTGAAGAATGACAGCTGAGGGTTTCCATGTATCATTTAAGAATCAGTAGGTGGTACATAAACACAAAAAGATGTTGAGATCTGGAATCATTAAGGAATCTTAATGACTAAGAATCTAGAGCTAAAATTTAACAAGCAGGTAGGAGGAAATATTGGGAAGTATTAGGAACAATCTGAAACTCTCATATATTGCTTATGAAAGAAAAAGATGGGGCAGAATTTGGTAGTTTTATAGAAAATTAAACATAATACTTCATGTAAGACCTAGCAGTTCCACCCCAAGCTTTACAGACAGAAGTCAGATTAGTGAGTAGTTGGGCATTAAAAAAAGAGGAAATTTCCTAAAAAGAATATGGGACAGGCTTTTGGGATAACAGGAATATCCTGTTATGTAGCTATGGTGGTATTATCACAGTATAAGTTTTTCAAAACTATTCACATACCTCTACAAAATGTGAATATCACTACTGTATATAAATTGTATCTTAATGAAAAAGCCCAAAAAGCCCCCACCAACAATGTTTTACACATTTATTCAAAGGGGTATTAAGAGTTATATAATGCCACTCAGTGAAAAAGAAACACTATATTTGTACATGGGAATGCTGTATACAAATTGTTTTGTAGTTTATCTCCTAAAGATACACACTTTCATCCAGCATTTCAGGTACACAGTTTTTATACAGAATGCTTCTAGCTATTTTATACTCTTACTCATACAGTGCCAAGTACCCCTCAAAAAATGCACAAGAATTAGGTGAGTTATTATTCATATTTAACAGAGAAATTGAGGTTCCTCTTGCCTTTTAGGCAGAACTAAAGACTTAGCTTTTTTACTCTGAATCTTGTATTTTTTCCACTAATGATACAGCAGGAATAATGTGATATTAACCTTGTTACTAAGTATTTAAAATTGGTTATGTTCTAAAACATGGTTATGTTTCCAGGTTAGTCTCATGATGGTAGAATTAGGTTTTTTTTTTGTTTTTTTTTTTTTTTTGTTTTTTTGTTTTTTAAGTACTGCACATTGCCAAACTTTATTTCTCTAGAATGTTTTACATATTTCTTTCCATACTTTTAACACTGACCTTAATGAGGGATGTCAACAATAAACATTTTTGAGATTCTTAGCCTATCAACAAGACATACTCCTTTCTATCACCAGCACATTTTACCTGAATTTGTAACGACTCCTTTGAAAATACACATATACTTGTTATTAGCCAGGTATCAGAGATGAGTAAAAGTAAAACACTGTTCCTTTGGTACAGAAAATTCTAATTTGATCAGGAGTGGTAAGTTAGTAATTATTTACAGTCCATAGTGATAAAAGGCTGAGTCTGAGCAGTCTTGAAAGTTATTTGAAATAAATGAAGTAATAAAAGTGGGGAAGGAATTCTACAACTGAAAGATGAGCAGCTATAAAATTAGGCAGAATATAAGAACAAGCAAAGAAAATTGTTTTGGGAAGTGAATTGGAAAAAGCGAGACAAATCCAGGGGCTGTTAGTAATCTAAATGGTAAATGATAACAGCCTGGGTGAAGTGTTGGCTGTGGAGTTGTAGGCAAGAGAGGTCAGTAAGAGTTGAAACAGTCTGATCTGGGAGGAAAGAGGAAATGGAAGATAATAGTCGTGTTCCCAGCTGAGGAGACTGCAGACATGGCAATTACAACTAAGATAAAACTAACTTAGGATGAGCAGGTTTAGGGGAAAACTTCAAGAAAAGATATTAAGATGCTAAGGTAATTACTCCTTGAAGCAGTTCACCTGTAATTAGATATCCTACCAAAGATTTCAGAAGAAAGTGCTGGGAGAAAAGTAGAACTTTGAAGTTTTCGATTAAAAGCAAGAGTTAGAACCAAAGTAAAATTCTGGCTTCCCCAGGGAGAATGTAGGTAGCCTAAGAACCAAACTCTAAGATTGAATGGTTCTTCATGTTTAGTGCTTTGATTAAATTGAAAATTAAAGCCAAGTCACTTCTGATATATGAAGCTTCTATATGAAACTTTTTATATACACATACTTTTGTAGTAAAAGTAAAAATGCATGGTAAATATTTAACTTAAAATACTTGTTTTAAAACATTTGACTAGGGCTGAGGAGTTAACTGAGCGACATAAGCACCTGCCTGGTAAGTGCGAGGTTGTGAGTTCAATCCTCAGTACCTAAAAAATAAAAATAAAACATTTGAGTTTTGCCTTTATGTGATTATGCATATACTTTTTTATGTGTGTTTGTTTTTTGAGATAATGTCTCATGTAATTTAGACTGACCTTGAACTCACTACATGGCCCATGCTATCCTTGAACTCCTGCCTCAGCCTCCCAAGTACTGGAATTACAGGCATGCGCCACCATTTACATTTACATACAACTTTATTGTCTTAAATATCATGTATCAGGCCTATTTCCGATGGGTCATCTTAAGTGCATTAAAATGTCTAATCGTTAGTTTTGTTTTTAAGGCATCTTATAGTATCACTGATTTCTTTGACTTTAAAGTTTTTATTTTTTCTCTTGAGAGAAAGAAACATTATATTCATTTGTTCATATTTGGGAAACAGAAATGGTAGGGTCAGAATCATACATAAATCTATACTAAAATAAAAAATGAGCATACAAATTAGTTTTCTGTTTGCCCATTTTTAAAAAATTTTCTAGTGTCTCTTTTCTGACATAAAACTTTTATATAATGAAATGCATGTACATTAAATAATACGTGAGTGACTTTAGAGACAGTTAATGAATCTGAATACTCTAAATCTGAAAAATTTCCATTACCCTCAAAAAACTGCCTTATAACTCCTTGCCAGTCTATTCCCAATGGACAAATTCTTTTTTTAGCCATACTTTAGTGCTGCCTTTTCTAGAATTTGAAATAAATGGAGTCATACAGTATTATTTTGTGCCATCTTCTTTCTCTCAGAACTGTATACATGAGGTTCACCAATATTTCAAACATCCGTATTCCTTTCCATTCTACTGCTAAGTAGAATTTCCTTAGGATGACAAACAATTTATTTCATATACTAGTGGACATCATGGCTGTTTCCAATTTGAGGTTATAATGAATAAAGCTGTTGAATATTCAATCACCTGTGCTTTTTAGACATACTTTACATGTTATATGTACATACATAAATGTTTTGTTTTGAGGCAGTGGTTAGGGCAGAATTGCTAGGTTATATATTTTTAACTATTTAAGAAAGTCAAACGATTTTCACAAATACTGCACCATTTCCATTTTCCTCAGCAATGTGTGAATTTCTGTTCTGCATCTTTGCCAACATTTAGTATTGTCAATCATTTTAAATTTAGCTGTTCTGATATAGTGATTCCTCATTATTTGCATTTTCCTTAATTTGCATTTTCCCATTGACTAATGATACTGAACCCTATTCTTTGTGTTTACTTATATTTATTTTTATTTTTCATATGTATTTATATATATTATGTATATATGTTTATTCATCATTTGTTAGACTTTCTTTTTTTTTATTTAAGGAGAAAAGAAAAGAAAGAAAAAAAAACAGTGAAGGGGTACAAGTTATACAGATTTACAGAAGAAAAAAATGCGCAGTAGGAAATCACTAGTTAATGGATTACATATTGCCATCTTAGAAACAATTGTTCAAGTCACAAAATTAAAGCTTGTAGAGTGGACATTCCAACAATGATACTGCAAACAGTTCTGTTCAATGATCCAATAAAACTCTGTGATACCATTTTCTATCTTATACATTTAAATATACATGCAGTTATATAGTTTAGAGCACTTTCTTTTCCTCTCTTTTGTACAGTGACTATTACACATTTTGGGTTTCATTGCTCCCACGGTTCTTATTGCTTTTTTGGAAGAGAGTAAAACCAAATGTGACATAACAGAACAGAATCGGTCAAGTCAAAAGGGTGGATATAATAGATAATATAAAAACATAATACAAGGTGATCAACAATGGTTACCATAATGCCTCCCGCTATTTCTAATAGAATTGCCCATATCATTAGTTGTAATACAATTGAACAAAACAGTAAAGAATAAAACCGACAAAACCAAAACATTGGAGATATTGTGGGTCTTCAAAAGTAGATAAAAGTCAACGAGAATGGGCATTATAATGAATCTCATTATCTTCTCAGCTGATGCCTAAACTTTCGAACCTGATACTATCCAGCAAAACAGAATAGAGGGACCTCAGTCAAAAACAAGATGGTGAGAGCAATACAGGGCTTCAAATCGAGATAATAGAAAGTCAAAGTGGGTTACTATATTATATCCTGCTATATTTTTCCCTTTAATTAAATGGATAAAAATAAAAAAGTAAATAATGGAGTGGAGATTGAGAAAAAAGAGGGCATAACAGCGAAACAGGGCAGATCAAAACATAACCATTTAAGCAGAATAGTGTTTCACCACCAGATATTTCCGACCCAAAAGTAGTTACCATATTGACTCCCTCCCCGAAGTCCTTGAGTACAACTTCATACACTGTAGCATCAAGTACATCAAAACAATGTAAAACCATTCAAGAGAATGACAGCATTATAGAGTATTTAGAATCGACCAACAGAAAACGAACAATGGTCTCTGTATAATCTCCTTGTCTTTAAAAGGTTTTTGCTTATACTATCGTACATAACAAAATCCAGTAAGATACAACCTGTTTAGACCATTGGAGACAGAAGAACAAAAGCTAGATGAGACTTCAAAACAAGATGGTACTAAATCAGCACTACCTATTAAGATGTCATTTTCTCCAAAATAGCTGTTCCTATCATCCAATCTTCTCTGTCTCATTTCTGTTGAGCTCTTTTTCTGTCAGTAGCTGTCAGTTTGTCTTCTTCATTTTGTTCTCTGCTCCATTCGTTGTGGCCTCCCCGCCACTATTTCTGGGTTCTTTGTATTTTTCTTTTTTTAGAATATCCTGCAATACTTTCTGTAGGGTTGAATTGGTGGTTGCAAATTCCCCCAGTTCCTCTTTATCCTGGAAGCACCTCGTTTTTCCATCAATTTCCAGGGACAGTTGTGCAGGATATCTCAATCTTGGCTGGAGATTATTATCTTTCAAAGCTTGAATTATTTCCCCCCATGCTCTTCGTGATTTGATGGTTTGTGAAGAGAAATCTGCTGTAATTCTGATGGGTGTTCCCTTGTAAGTGATCTGTTTCTTGTCTCTTACAGCTTTTAATATTCTGTTCTTGTATTGAATTTCTGGAATTTTTATTATTATATGCCTGGGTGTTTCTCTGTTAGGGTTGTAGGTAGCTGGGGTCCTGTATGCCTCATACATCTGAGTATCTTTACCTTTTGCTAAATTAGGAAAATTCTCCTGGATTATTTCTGTGAGTAGCTTTTGTAGTTCACTTGTTTGTGTCCCTACTTCTTCTTTTATGTTCTTAATCCTTAAGTTATGGCTCCTCTTATCATCTTCTTGTCTTTGTATTATTGCTGTTTGTTTCTTTGTTATTTTTAAGAAGTTTTTCATTTCATTCTCCCATATTTCAAGTCTGCCCTCCAGTTCAGATAGTCTGTCCTTAGTTTCTTTCAAGCTGTTATGCCAGTCTTGGATAGACTTCTTAATTTCTTGATAGTCCCTTTGAACCTGCTTCACATACTCAATGCTTTCTCTGTTTTCTCCATCAAGCAATTCTCTCCTCTTTTTCTGTTCTTCCATTCCACCATCTGTTTTTTCCTGGGTGGTGCTTAGCATTTCTCTAACTATTCTGCATACTTCTAGCTTCAGGTCATTGATAACTTCATTCCTGAACTGGTCTATGAGGCTCTCTATATGGCGCTTAATGTATATTGGTGCGGTGTCCACTATTGCCTGTTTCTCAGGATTGGGGGCTGAGGAGCCTTTTTTGTTGCTTCCTTTCCCCATATTTTCTGTTCCTTATAAAATGCAAGCTTACATAGGAAGCCCGGCTTCCCTGCCTGTCAGCCGCAGCCTGATCAAATTGCGCTGGCTAGTTGTTCCCGCCCACCGCTGCGCACCAGGGAGTTGCGGAGGAGGCAGCCTACGCGGGAGTCAGTCGCTCCTCCGGGCCTCCGTCAGGCTCTGGGATCTGGGTTAGGCCAGCCTAGGGAGTCCGCCAGCAGCGTCACTCAGGCCAGGCACTTTTCACCAGTCCCGTCCGAGAGGGGAATGTGTGGCTGGAGTTGCCACCGCGCCCTGCTCTTACAGGACTGCCTGAGCCCAGAAAGTCCTCCGCTGGAGTCAAACTGTGGTAGGTGGTCAGTTTCTCACTCACCTCGCTACCAGTCAGTTTTCGTGTACGCCTCCTTGTCCGTCCTGTTTTCGACTCCGTTCGCAGACTCCCGTTCCCAGAGCTCGGCGCGTCTCTCCTTGCCAAGCCGCTGTGGAGGCAGCCAGCTGCCGGGCGGCAGGAAACCCAAATCGCGGTTTCCAATGGCGTGGGGTCAAGCCTCTATACCGAGTCTTTTCTGTTCCTATTTTAGCGCCAGGACTGTATTCTAAGTTGGTTTCTCTCAGCCCAGTTCGTTCCTGAGTCAGCAGAGCATATCTCTACTGGTTCGTGTCTCCTTAGTCCGCATCATTCCTGGCCTCTGAGCCGAGCCTTTCAGAGAGCCTCCGGTAGTTGCTGTTGTCTGTCCGCTATGTTCTCCCGGAGTCCCCTTGTTAGACTTTCTTTCCCCATTAAATGTCTTAGATTCCTTTGCCCAAAATTAAGTTAACACTATCAATTGTGACTCTTATGTCTAGACTCGATTCAGTTACATTTATATATTTTTCTGGCTTATGCCATTACTATATATTCCTTTGCTGCCTTGTAAATCTGAAAGTCAGATGATCAAACTCCTCTGGCCTTTCCCTTTTCAAGACTTTGTTTGCTATTCTAAATTGTTTGAATTTCTACATAAGTTTTAGAATCAAATTTTCAGATTTTATTTTTTTTAAATGTGTAATAAGGTTACAATCCTTGTTGTATTGATTGAGGAATATCAAAATGTATAGAATGTCACTAGATCAGTGCTTAGAGGGAAATTGATAGTTTTAAATGCTTATATTAGAAAAGAAGGTTTACTTTGGGGGAAAAAAAAGGCTACATTTCTTTCTTGGACATCTAACAAAAAATAATAGCAAAGTAAATTCCAAGGATAGAGAATGAAAAAGTAATAAGAATGAGGCCAATATAAAGAGCATAGAAAAAAAAGAGAGAAAACTGATACAATAAATATTAAACACAGAAGAAAAAAGTGGATATCAATAAACATTCTGCACATATGAGAAAGATTATGAGGGCAATAAGAAAATACCAATCAACTGGAGAACCTAAGTGAAACAGAATAACTCAGTGAAGGGCATAAGCTACCATTATTTACCCAAGAGATGATCTTACTACTACTATGTCCATTGAAACTAAATTCATAGATTTAAAACCTTCATAAAAACATGCCTTATATAGATTAAATACTTAATTATGAAAACATTAGCAGTCTTATACAATACTTTGGTAAAACAATATTAAAACTTCCTTAATGATTTCTTCTTTGACTAAGCTGTCCTTTCTCATTGTTTAATTTCAAAATATTTGAAATAGTTCTCAATTATCATTATTGATTTCTGTTTCAATTCTGATTTGGTTGAAGAACATACTTAGTAAAATTTCAGTAATAAGAGTTTACCATGATTTGTTTCATGGCTTACGATATGGCTTGTGTTGGATGTTTCTTGTGTACCTAAATACGTTTGGTGGTCACTGGTTTGGTTTTCTGTGATTGTGAACATGAAGGAGTGGCAAAATCTCCAACTCTGGTAATTTACTAGTTTTGTCAGTTTTTGTTTCATTTGAAGCTCTTTTATTTTATTAGACACATGTTCCTTTGTAATTAATTTTATAAAATGAACTATTTAATTTCCTTTTAAATTGTTTTGTCTGTTATTAAAATGAATCACTTCATTAGTCTGCTTGGTGTTTACATTAGGTTTTCACAGTAGTCTCCCACATCAGGCAACAATGTAGTGGATATTAAAGTCTAAAGTCTACATTTCTAAACAAAGGATCTCCTAACCTCTTCTCTATAGATAACTGAATGTGAAATTTCATTCCTTTTCTTTTAACTTAATTCTTTGAACAATACACAAATCGTTTAATAGCTAGTACACAGTAAATTCTGAGTGACAGGCAGCTGCCAAAAAATAGAGTTCATACTGGGTAGCATAAATGGGTCATGCTTGCCAGAATGTCCTTGTTTTTCATTTTTAAAAGTTTATTTTTAAAAAAAAAATGTATAAAAATTTACAGAATTGAAAAGCGTTAGCCTGAAGGAAGTGATAATCTATAGGAGACACAGTTTTTTCAGAAATCAAAACACAAAGCATTTATTTTGAGATGACCTATGTATTAAATGAACTAAGTGGTATTGCATTTGTACTTTTCTTTTGTCATGTGAATATAGCAAAAAGAATATATTCACATTTGAAAATACTTGCTTTAACTTCGTGTCTGTTTGATAGATGTTGAAGAAAATGAAGATGCTGCTGCAACCTCTCTTCCCACTCAGCCACCTCAGATGCCATCCTCTTCAGCCTACGACCCGAGCAGCATCCCGTCAGGCAGCTACACTGGAATCCAGATTCCTCCGGGTGCTCACGCTCCAGCTAACACTCCAGCAGAAGTGCCGCATGGGCCAGGTAAGAAATCCTAGTCCCCTTTTGTAACTACAGACTTCACTTCGGTCATATGTGTGTCTCATAGAGATGGCTTGCAACCTACAGAGTCAGACCTGCAAAAAACACAAAATTGTTCTTACTGATGTTTTACTGTTTATTATAATCTAAGTTCTGTGAACAGTAACAAGTAGTATAGTGTATTGATTACTTTTAAGTTTGTTAAAAAGAGTAGTTTCTACATATTGTATGTATTAGTTTTTCTTTTTCTTTCCCATTCGCTGTCATTTAAGAATAAAATTGAGGGGAGTGAGGTTTCTTGTCGGCTGTGTCAGTCAGGGTTGTACTGTGGTAACAAGACGGGGCCTCTAAGTCATTTTGCATGAGTTAAGCAACATCTAAAAGTTTTCTGTTTTGATCATCTTTTTCTTCGTATTTTAAAACCTTTACCTGTGGTTTACCTGTAGATCATGCTGGTATTTTGTGTTTTAAAGTTATTAATTAATGAAATTTATCATCATCACAGCACTTGCCATCACCTGGGATATTTTACCTTGATTTTTCAATGCCTTATTTATGATCTGGGTGATAACATTCATAGTCTAACCTAGGTGAAGTTTTTAAGTAAAATGTCATGGCTCTTTTAAATACTGTAGTATCCTTTAAGAAGCCTTCCAAATGTACCTCAGTGTGTTTGCCTTAGACGATATATTGCAGAATTTACTTGCCCTTGTCAGCACTGATCCAGAACCCCACACGGCATTGTCATGGAGGGTCACTCAGTACATCCAGGAGTCAGCTAATGCTAAACCACAAGCTTGCTAATCTACAAATCAATCTGGTTCTCAACTTTCTCAACCTAGGTTTTTCACTCTAGGTTCTTTCTTTTTCTAAAATGAAATTAATCATGCCTACTTTTCAGTTACTTTAATTTTTAAGAGGAAAATTAAAAATTTCACAGTAAACCTAACAAGAAAATCCATGACCAGCAAATTAGCTTCCTTTCCTTCATTACTTTCCACTTCCTTCCATTTGTTATGCCAAAGAGAGGGTATTTAGTGGTGAATTAATGCACATTTAAAATCATTTTTTGATTCAAGAAAAGTGTTACATTTACAAATAAAAGTTTAAAAATCTCTACAGAAAGATTATCCAAGAGATAGAGCCTTAAGTAATATCTTTAAGGGTACAACTGCCACATACATCCTGATTTATATGTAGTTTATGTGCATGCACATATGCGTGTTTGTGTGTGTGGGTATATGTGTGTATGCATGTGTGTGTAAAAGCACTTTTAGTAGGAAGGCTGTATTAAGTTAGTGAAATTGTTTTTGTACAACAAAAATGAGAAAATATGGGTAATTTCACATTCAAACAACATATACTTGAAATATTGGTGACATAAAGATAGATATTAGGAGATAGTACTCTTCTTTCATTTTGATCTACTGAACTTGAGCATATGTTGTTTTTCCCTCCCTCTCCCCTTCCTTCCCATTCCTTAGAGAAGGGAATAACTAAACATTTTAAAACCTTTATAGGATGAGGCCCTATCTTATTTTATACATTTAGCTGTTTGTACAGTTCTTACAGCAACTGTATTTGGTATCATCTCTTATTTACAGTCCAAAGAGATTAACACATTTTAAGAAAAGAGTCATACCTAATGAGAGAACCAAAATTTGAACCTAGATCTAGTTTCATGCTTTCACCATGCCTCTGATGTCCTTTCCTCCAAGAAACTAAAATTCTGTGAAGTTCTATCCCTGCTTTTCTGAGAATCTGTTTCCCTTCAGTGTTGGTTTGAGATATCTTTCCTGTTTTATTTGCAATATTTCAAAACTTAGTTTATAGGGCCAGTGACACAGCTCATGGCACAATGCCTGCCTAGCAAGTATGGTGTCCTGAGTTCAATTCCTGGTACAAAAAAAATTAGTTCATAGTTGTCTAATAAAAACAAGAATAACATTTTTAATTTATAAATATGGCAGATGTTTCCCCTCTTATTCCCTTTAAAGAATGATTTACTTTCTCACATATAAAGGTTCAGGATGCACTTTTATCAAAGGGAAATCCTTGAGATAGCCAAAAAGAATAGTTTGTACTAATTTACAGTTTCATTTCTTCCATAAAAAAGCACAGTGGCTACAATGAGGGCAGGCATAGTGACTGTGCACACTGTATTTCCCTTCTGTGCTTTAACACTGGGCAAGTATCACATGGAGGCAATTATGGTGTGCTTCTTTTCCTCTTGAAACACATACCTCTTACAGTTTACCATACTGTAATAAATCTAGGTGCAGTAGAATCATGTTCAAATAATACTAGCCTTTTAATTCTAAAAGAAGCTCACCTCCCACGTAGACAGTTGGCTGTGTTGAGTTCTATTAGGCTGTGATGCTTTGTTACTAACACTCTGACTTACTGATCCTCTCAGTGCCATTCTCCTTGATTAAACTGAGGTTTTACTATTTTGTACCTTCATTTCTCCAGTTCCTCTAGGTTAGTGCATCTTTCTTTCCTTTTCTCTGCCTCTGTAAGTCCTGCTTTCTCTCAGGATTTTACTTTTTGAATAATCTTCTCTAGTTTTCTGACCAACACCCATATCTTCTTTTTCACAATCCCCACATCATTTAGTCTATACAGCATCTTAGTACTTAACTGGAAACTTTCCATTCTTTAATATGCATTTATCCTATCTAATATACATGATATGTATGTACTTTAAAAATTAGTCAGAAGTTACTTATTAACACTTATTCTATATTACACAATGGGAAAAAATTCCAAACCCATTCTACTTTCCTCCAGTAGTGTTTTTAGAGTCATGTATCTCCAGCACACTGCAGTCTGGGAGCTATAACTCTTTGGACATTGTCAGATGAGACATATCCAAGTCAAGACTGAAGGGAAAAATAGCTCTATGTGGGCATCTCCATAAATAAGTAGACAGCATGTACTAATTTAACAGGTATTTATAAGCATGTGTTGCACCACTCCTCTGGGCCTGTTGGACAGGCCTGGCCTGGCCTCTGCACTTGCAGATAAACAAGGGACAGCAGCGGCTTCTGACTGTGCCGCCTGAGGCATGTTGAGCTGTTCGGTTCAAGTTGGAATTGAATGATTGTCAACACAGCCCGTAATGAGATGCAGGCTACAATTTCTTTTGTTTTTAATATTGCTCAAATGAAATTTTACTACATATCTAAACATTTTCTCCCTGTAAATTCAATTTTGTCCTTGTTAATACTACTTAGTCACCTGGAGTTGTACAAATAAGCATTTGAAAGTTAGAGGTCTTGACCAAAAACGATGCCTTTTCAAAACATCAGGTAGTTGGTTGGAGGATTTTAATTTAGGAAAACATACAAATTATTTAGCAAGTTGATATATAGGTTAGATTCTCAGAAAGTTTATAAACCTGCCTTTTAAATAAACATCTGTGTAACAAACATATACTATCAACTACAAGCATTTTGAGTACAGCTGTTTCAAAACATTATACTTGTTTTTGAAGATCCCTCTCAGACTGTATAATATTTTGCTATTATGTTTGTGCTTTGAAATGTTTGGCAAGTTGGTGGGGGAAATTATTTCAAATATGTGTACTTTCAATATACATGTATTTGGTTAGCTCATCAAAATCAAACAAAAAATAGTAACAGCTGGTTAATTTAAAATTTCTATGCCTCAGCATTGCAGTAATACTTACAAAGCTTTTTCTATATTTTATGTAACTGTACATAAGAATATTGACTAAAGCATTAACTGTCCTTAACACTATCAGCAGTCTCTGTATCAACCTAAATGTTTATCATAAGGGGCTACTTTTTGAATTACAGTTGTATGCACAGAATGGAACAATACCACACAACATTAAAAAGAACAAGGCAGTTTGAAATGTATTAATCTGAAATTATTGGTAAGCCATATTTAGTGAGAAATGCACACCCAGTATAGTATATATGCAAAGCATATTACCATTTGCAAAACACACATAGAATGCCTCACTGATGGGGAAGGGGATTTATTTAGAGGAATTTGATTTAGGAAAAAACACAGACCTAGCAAAGAACAGCACTGAGATAGATAGATAGATAGATAGATAGATAGATAGATAGATAGATAATTAGAATTAGAAATGATTAGATGATTGGAATTAGAAACACATGAGATCCACAGAGGCCCTGAAATGGGTAATACTCCTAAATTGGCTAGGACTAGGAATGATAGTCAGGCTTTCATTTACATATTTTTTGTACTAGTTAAAATTTGTACTTGACTTTTCACCTGTATACTATGTATTTTTCAAGATTTTTTTCAATTTTTAGGTTACAAGATAAATTTTTCATATGTTTAATAGTTCTACTAGCTATAAAAGAAGTTTTCCCTAAGACAAAATTAAATGATGTAAATAAATGTAAACTTTTATTTTCCTTGAATGGGCGGGTTGATTCTTTGAAGTCAATGTTTCATACTAGGGAAACTACTTCAGAACGTTAATTATTCTTTGTGAAACCATCATTCTAGTATTATATTATGTATTTGTCTCTAGAAACCTTTTTATCTTTTACTTTTCCTGTCTTCCTGTTTCCTTTACCACTTAACCCTTACTGCAAATTGCCTATTCCAGTTTTACAGATTTGAATTCAATTCAGCTTGGAACAAACGAACTTTGAGAAATTGACTTCATTGATTTAGAATAATAAACTTTTCTCATTCACCTCCCTGTTATTTTGTCTTTCTTTTAAGAAAGTTAACACTATTAATTTCTTTGATAAATAATCTTCAACTCTAATGTTAATTTCACTGCTAGTTACTCATTAAATATAATAATTTCAAGATGTTCCAGCAGAAAATCAAAGTGAATTGCTCAACAGTCCTACAAAAATACCATCTTAACAGAGTGTTTACTGGGGTCAGACATGGCGGCACAGGCCTGTAATGTCAGTACTTTCGGAGGGTCAGGTCGGAGGATCGCAAGTCAGAACTGAGCCTGGCCAACTTAGCAACTTATCCCAAAATTAAAAAAATAAAAAGCTGAGTATGGTCACACATACCCGTAATCTCAGCAGTCAAGAGGCTGACACAGAGAGGATCATCAAAAGTTCAAGATTAACCTGAGCTACACAGCAAAACCATAGCTCAAAAAAAAAAAAAACAAAAAATAATTAATTTTGTAAACGGGATGTGATGGAGCTCAGTGCAGAGGCACTATGTTCAGTCCCCAGTGTCAGGGGGAGGGATGTGGTAACTAAAATTTGAGCTATAAAATTTGAATTTTATACAAAATGATAAAATAGTATTCATAAGCTAAACTGTCATAATTATGCTTGTCCCCAGCATATTCAATTGGCTAAGAAATTAAAAAAGTAAATAAGTCTGTTACTTTTATGAATATATGGTAATTATTAATTGTAAAATGAGTTGAAGTACTATACATGATATATAAACACTCTTAATATATTTTCCTCTACATGTTCTATACCATTGACTAACATCAATTAAGTATAAGTTGGAGCCCATAATAAGGTTTCAAGAAAGTGATTAAGTGACATAATGAAATTCTCACATGATTCTTTAAATTCTTCCTTGGTAAATAATTAAGAGGTATAACACTTTATATTCATTTATGGTTTTCTGATTTGCAGGTGTAACGAGTAATACTATCCAGCCTACTCCACAGACTGTCCCAGCCATTGATCCGGCACTGTTCAGTACAGTTTCCCAGGGTGAGTCAGCTATCTTTTCTAAGGCATATTGGCACTCTTCAGTTGAGCTGTTACTCTATAATTTTACCATAAGTACTATATATGTACATGTTCTTAATTTAAATTGGAATACTTAGGATTCGTAACAGAAGTCTTTGCTTATGTTCACCAGATTTCCAGGATTGCTTCCTAGTCTAAAAAATACCTAAGTCCAAAGGTTTCCTTTTGTTAATGTTCTGCTGTACCACTTGAGACAGTGGCACAAACATCTTTCCAGGACTACCATGAAAGTTTAGTGCTAGATTAGTTTGGTTCAGGATTTCTGTGTTTTATGATGATGATATTTTTTAACTACACTTTTGTTAGATTTTCTCACAAGAAAGGAACTGACCTTTGTTGAAATAAAAATCTCTGAAGTTGATTATTGCAATTGTTTGGTTTATAGGCTATGTAATTGGTTTGTTGAGTATAATCTTTCCTGCGTTTCTTCTGTTTTTACCTCAAGTCAGATGTTGGGTTTATTTTGATCTGAGTTTATTTCTTCATATGTATGATGAGATTTGGATTTTTTATAATTAAAAATCATGACTGTTTTTAAGCAGTTATTGCTTACTTTCTGCTGATGTTATATGGTTAGGTGTCTCCTCCACTTGATTTTATGTTCTCCTTGTGTGATGAAAACTGGTCATTATACCTGCCTGTCAGCTATGCTCTGAGCAAAGCCATTAAGGAAGCTGTGAGGCAGAGGTGGATCCCATACAACTTTGTCAGCCTTGGCTCTGTCCTGGCAGTTTGTTCCACAGTTTTAGAGTGCTGTCTTGTATCTTTTTTGCCCAAAGTTAAAAGTGAGAGTTGAAAAGCTGTGAGGGTAAGGTAGGTATGCAGAGGTTTACAGAATGGGGAAAGATAGGAAACAAATATATTGTGTTCTTACTCTCTGTAAAGATTCCCATCCTCACTCTTATGAAGAGTGTGCTTCCACTCTTTCTGAACTTTCTCTAAAAGACAGTCCATTCCTAAATTGAATTGTGCTTCTGAATTGAGCTTTTTTTTCTGTTTCTCTCATAGCATGTATCTCCTTCTAGTGGATTTCTGCCTTTCTAGAAATTTATCAGTTCTCCATTTTCAGCTTTCTTACGCAGTCTCCTCTGCTTTTGCTTTTCAGTTTTATAGATTTATTTACTTTTGTCCTACCATATCATTTTATGATGGTTTCAGGATGATGAATATCTATCACTATGCTTAGTCGGCAACCTAGAACAAGAGCCCCAAAATTCGTCACACATTTTATCAGTCCAGAGTGAGCATAGTACACTCACTGTTGATAAGGTGATTGTGTCTTCAAGCACCAGAAACTGTGAAATGTTATTATATCCTATATAATAAATGATATATACATATATATAGTTCTATATATATAGTTATATTAGTCATGTACTTATAGTGAGGTGCATGAATCATTTTACATTTATTCTACCTTTCCAAGTTTTGCCAAAAGCAAATGAGTTACAAGAACTAAAGTTAAGAGCTATAATGACCTTTCAATCTTGGATTGAAGATTTGAAGAGCATTTGAGTGTTTCATAGGGGAAAATAGTGTTGTGGTGGTAAAGATAGATAAAGAACCTGTACTAAACTCTGGCGTATTACCCAAGAACATAGTGAAAGATGTTTATCTGTTTCAGACAAATACATAGCCTGCCCAACTTATGCAATATGCCTCTGTTAAACTTGTTGTCCAGATTCGTGCCTGTAGATACAAAGATTCCACCTTCATAGGCCCTATGTACAAACTAACATGGGAATACCTGAAAGAGAAATACACAAGCAGGTCGATGAACCAGAATAGAGAATCCAGAAATCAGATCATAGCCACACAGAATAGGAATTCAATTAACGATAAAGCAGTACTTTATTGTCACAGCAAGAGTATGTATTAAAAAATAATGTTAAAACCGTTGGCTAGCAAGTAAAAAAATTTACATTAAATACCCATCTCAGTTCATGGTTTAGCTATGTCTTAACAAATGAAAAGTAATAAATTCCATAAAGCAAAATTTCTTTTCTCCCCAATTGTATTGTTAAAATGCAACTAAAAGACGTGGGGGTAAAATTTGATTCTTAAATAATAATTAATGTCCAAGTGTACATAAAAACTCCTATAAATTAATAAGGAAAACTTAACTCAGTGGAAAAAATAGGTGAGAATGGAAACAGATAACACAGTGAATATGTGAAAGATACACAACCATAATAATAATCAAAGAAATTGCAAATCAAGTCAGTTTGGTTGTGACCAGATGCAAAAATGATGTACAAGAATGGCAATCTACAGTGTTAATAAAGATACAAAATGTGACTCTTGCATCCTGTTGATGGGAGTATAAATCAGTAAGACTTTTTTAGTAGCAGTGACACTATCAAAATGACAAGTGTTTCTACCTTTTGACCCAGGTGTTTCACTGGTAAGAATCTATCATAAATGTATACTTCATGAGTACAGTGTATTTCTACAGAAACTTATTTTGGAATTTTTGTGATAATAGAAAATTATTAAATGTACATTACAGTCTGTCCCTGATATGTAATAATACATACACATATTTAAAAAGAGTATGGTAGTTCTCATGTGAAAAGATTGCCTAGATATACTAAGCAGAAAGGCAAAATGCAGAGCATAATGTAAAGTATAATACTTTATAGAAGAAAAAAGACACAATGAGCTGGGGATTTAGCTCAGTGCTTCAAATGCTTGCTTGGTAAGTGTGAGGTCATGATCCCCGGTACAAAAAAGAGACACAAAACTGACTCTGTGTGTGTGTGCATGTGTGCACGCACACACATATTCTGAGCTACAAGACACAGCTAAAAATTTTTTTAACCTCAAATCATAAAGTGTCTACACTGAGACTACAGTGGAATGTAACAGGAAATCATTTACAGAATAATAAACTACAAAGTTTTTGTATACTAGCCCGGTGTGGTAGCTCACGCCTGCAATCCCAGTACTCCAGAGGCTGAGGTGGGAGGATCGTTGGGAGTTCAAGACTACAAAGGGCTACAGAGTGAGCTCGAGGCCAGCCTGAACTGCATAGTGAGAGCCCATCTCAAAAAAGACAAAAAAAAAAAGTTACAGAATACTTGGGAAATCAGTAGCATGCTTCTAAAAACTTATGGCCAAAGATGAAATCTCAAACATTTAAAAATACTTTGAAGTACATGAAAACAGAACGTAACAAACTTGGGGAATACCACGGAAGTATTGCTTAGAGGAAATGCACATAGTAGAAAAAGAAGGTCTATAAAAATGAACCTAAGATTTTGCCATAAAAGATTAGGAAAAATGTAAATTTAAAACCTGAAGCAAAACACTGATGAAAAAATTGAGTATACCAAAATATTTCAAAGCTTTCCATGTTCATGGAATAGAGTTAAAATACCCCTTATTACCCAAAATGATTTACAGATTGAATGCAATCCCCATCAGAATACCAATAACATTCTTCATATAGCTAGAAAAAGTAATCAAAGTTCCTATGCAAGCTCAGAAGATTCCAAGGCTCAGAAGATAGCCAGAGCAGTCTTAAACAAATAAAACAGAGCTGAAGGCATTACAATACCCGATTTCAAGACATACTCCAAAACAGTAATCAGAACAGTGTAATACCGCATTTATGAAGAATTATAGACAAATGGAATGGAAAGGAATGGATCAGAACAGAGATCCTATGTAGAAATCAACCCACATATTTACAGCTAATCAGTAAAGGGTCTAAAAACATACATAGGAGCAAAAACAGCCTCTTTGCTAGCAAATACTTCTGGGGAAACTGTACATCCACATGCAGAAGACTGAAACTTGACCCCCACCTCTCAATCGGTCCAAACTCAGAATGAATAGACTTAAATGTAAGACCTGATACTCTGAATCTTCTAGAAGACGTAAGGAAAATACTTCAAGACATTAATACAGGTCTTTTTTTTTTTTTTTTTTTTTTTTAAATATGACCCCAGAAGGACAGGAAGTGAAAGCAAATTAAAACAAAAAGGAAAGAAACTAACACGCATCAAATGATACAATCAACACAATAAAGAAATAACCTGCAGGATGGGAGAAATCTACTGACTGTTCATCTGACCAAAAGTTCATATCTAGAATATAAAGAACTCAAAAAAAAAAACCTTCAAGTAATTCAGTTAAAAATGGGCAGTTGATATGAATATACAATTTTTGAAAGAAATACAAATTGCCAACAAATGCATGAAAAACGCTCATGTGTGAACCATCAGAGAATTGCAGATCAAAACTACAATGGAATTGTGTTTCATTGTAGTTAGAATGGCTTAAAAAATTAATGAACACATAAGGAAGAAGGAAATTTATATACTATTGATGAGAATTGCTACAACTGTTATGGAAAAGAAGATGGAGGTTCTTCAGAACACTAAATACAGATATAATACAGGATTCAACTATTCCACTTCTGGGTTTATATTCAAAGAAAATTGAATCAGTATATGAAATAGGTAGCTACAGACATATGTAATTTGAAATTATCAGTACTTTCCTTCATACATTGCTATTAACATTACATCTGAAACTTTGCTACCAAACTCTCTAGTTTTGCCTATGATAACTTTTTAAGAGTTTTACCACTTTACATTTTATGTTAAGCTTGTGATCCACTTTGAGATCATTGTGAGAAAGGTATAAAAGTCTGTTTTGGGTTTTTTGTTGCTGTTTTCTGAAAGTGAATGTCTGTAATTTCCAGCACCATTTTTTGAAACAAGTATCATTTTTACATATTATTGCCTTTACTTCTTTGTTAAAAATCTATGGTTTATTTATTTCCTATTTCTGTTCCAGTTATCTGTTTGCCTTTTCTTTTAGTAACACCTCAGCATCCTAATTAATACAGTTTTATAAGATGTCTGGAGTTTGAAGGGTCAGTCTTCCAACTTTGTTCTCCTTAAATGGAGTTGCCTACCATGTGTCTTACCATTCCGTATAAACTTCAGTTA